ACGGCTGGCCCTCCGGACAGGCTGGGCACCGCTCGCCTTTCTGTAAAAGCAGAGGCCCTGGAATGATAGTCTCCTCTTGTCGTGTCCAGCCTAAGTTGGGCTTGGTACCAGTGCTGGCAGGAAGAACTCAGGAGCATCGCAGGGGGTGGTCTGGCTCCTGAGTGCCGAGGAGAGATGCCTTCGAACGTGTGCCCCTGCTTACGTTCCCACCCTTCCTGCCAATGGGATAACCCACAAGAACGCCGAGGCTTCGAGCCGCGGGTGGGAAAAGGACATGGAAAGATCACGGCGCGCTCCATGAACTTTTGGAAGCCTCTCGTTTCGACTGACTGCCTACTGTGTGCAGAGTCATGGGATAAATTCCGTAGTCCGTTAATATAACCCCTGCTTTCAGAACAGATAACTAAGTATGAAAACAATGATTTCCACAGCAGAGTATTTCCCAAAGCTTTCGGGGTGTCTGTGACTAGCGTGGCACCCTCCCGAGTTCCCAAGCCCACAGGGGGCTTTCAGCATCTGGAGTGACTGCCAGGCAGATCACGGCGGCGGGCTTTCTGATTGACCTGGGGAAGCTCGCTGACCACCGAGAGGGCGCGCTCAAGCACAGTACCTGCCTGCTGCCAGAACTTGATGTGCTTCACCCCAGCGGTCACCAGCTTGTCGGCATGATGGGGGTCACACTTGATCACGAAGATTTTATCCTTATGTCCTCTGTAAGAAACAGACAGGTGAGCCAGTTCGCGTTTGCCTGGGAGCCGGGGGAAGAGTTCTGAAAGTCTCCTCCCTCTGGTCCACTCCCCTTGTGCCGTCTCACAGGACAATATTCACACACGCCAGTGAGCCCCCCCCCCCAGGCTGTGGGTGAGTTGGGGTTTTTTCCCTTTGCATGCTCGGCATGCTTGAGCCATTTCTTCTTACCTTCCTGTTGTTACCAACATGTAGCGAGGCAGGACTGACACGCACTGACAAGACACCTAAAGTGGATCACCCTACTGCGACCTCCTCCCGAGGGTGTGACTAAGTATGTGGGTGCACTGCTCTTGTGCAGAGGGGGCGGGGCGGGGCAGCCACCCTAATGAGAAGCTTCCAGCGTGAACACTCGCCCTGGGGACCACATCACTTCAGGTTAAACTGGGTTTCGGCTAGCAATGTCCTGGCCATGCAGAGAGAATGGGTGCAATCTACAGGCTCGAGGCCTTCAGAATCCCCTGCATTGAGAACCTGTAAATGTCTAAGCCAAGGATGGAGGAGAATGACCTGTAAGGTAGGACGGATGGCAGACCTGGACCTATGGACCCGGCAGTCCGCGGTGCCAGGGGAGCCTCAGCTTTAGAGTACAGACTCGCCTCGTGGGGATCTAAGCATTTCCTGATCTTAATGACCTCCTTTGGCATATCAGGATATGAAATTTCATTATGTAAACAAAGAGCGACCAACAAAAAATAACACCATGGGAGTAATCTCCCTTATGAAGATAGATACAAAGTTCCCAAATGTTAGCAAACATCATTAAGTAGGACATTTTAAAACGAAACACTGTGACCAAATTCAAGAGAGATTCAAGGTGACGCCACCACTCACTGCCGCTGGGCTGCCTCGATAGCAGCTCACAGCAAGCCTGCAGGACAGGCGGGGCTTCTCGACAGGGCCTCGGAGGCTGGACAATCTCTGGAGCAGGCTGCCTCATGCTCCTGCACAGTGGCTGGTGGGTTCGAACGGTCAACTTTCTGCTCGTTCATGATTAAAGCAACCAAAGCAACGTTCAATGGGTGCTCAGTAAATGAGGGGTCAGCGGTACTTCCGGCAGGACCTCAGATGTCCACAGTCTTCTTCATTCTCTGCCACGAAGGAGCCACGGGTCATTCCCATGTTG